CTGCATAGCCAACCGAAGATCAGTCCGAATAGTAATCAGCTTAGTATCAACTTATTAATCAACTGCTGAAGTTCTTAATTGTAGTCTATTTAAGGTCATGAGCCAGTCTATTTGGTAGAGTGATGAACGGGTGCTAGCTTCTCTACAGATTTTCCCTCTAGTTCAGTGCATAGATCGGCGATATAAATTCCTAAATTTAGGCTTATATGACCTCCATCGAAATCGATCCTGACTTTTAAAAGATATGTTCACAAAGTGGTGCAGGGAGGAGCAAGGATTGGCCTCAATTTAAGATAGACCGTCTATTGGGACTCACTATCAACCCAGACCTCAAATAGAACTCCTATAAACAATCCCTTCCAAAAGAGGCTCAGAAAATGATCGGTTTCTTGCACCGCACAAGAAAGAACCTGACTCCTTCTCCTATGTTTTATCTTTACAAGGGAAATCAAACTAAAAACTGAATATTACTGCCTTATTTGGGCTGGAAGTGTCCAGTCCTCACTTACAAGTATTGACAGATGTCCATAATGTTTACTCGACTTTGTGTGGAATGACTTATTTTCCATCCTACACCCTCTTTCCCACAGACCAAAAGTCGCAAACCTCTGGTTATATTTTCCGACGGGCGCCACCAAGTCATAACTTTAAACCTGCTAAGTTAATGCCACAGTACAGAATCACGCCCATTCTCTACGTACTCCTTTTCCAAGAAGGGCTTACTACCTGAAAGGTTATTTCCAAGAAGTGCTACGTTATGGCCCATACTCCCGGGTGGATGCTTTCCTGATCACTACAATCTTAACCTCTAGAATTCTAGGGTTATTTGTTATCTCTACACGGTATCCTCACAAGCATCACCTCTATATATCTATTGTAAAGTTCAATATCAGACACCTCATTATTAAAGATTATTTCCGATAAGTGCTTCGTTATGGCCCATACTCCCGGGTGGATGCTTTCCTGATCACGACAACCTTAACCTCTAGAATTCCAGGGTTATTTGTTATCTATACACCGTATCCTCACAAGCATCACCTCTATATATCTATTGTAAAGTTCAATATCAGACACCTCATTATTAAAGATTATTTCCGATAAGTGCTACGTTATGGCCCTTTCACCCGGGTGGATGCTTTCCTGATCACGACAATCTTAATCTCTAGAATTCCAGGGTTATTTGTTATCTATACACCGTATCCTCACAAGCATTACCTCTATATATCTATTGTAAAGTTCAATATCAGACACCTCATTATTAAAGATTATTTCCGATAATTGCTACGTTATGGCCCATACTCCCGGGTGGATGCTTTTCCGATCACCACAATCTTAACTTCTAGAATTCTAGGGTCATTTGTTATCTCTACACGGTATCCTCAAAAGCATCACCTGTATATATATTTATTGTAAAGTTCAATATCAGACACCTCATTATTAAAGCTTATTTCCGATAAGTGCTACGTTATGGCCCTTTCACTCGGGTGGATGCTTTCCTGATCACGACAACCTTAACCTCTAGAATTCCAGGGTAATTTGTTATCTATACACCGTACCCTCACAAGCATCACCTCTATATATCTATTATAAAGTTCAATATCAGACACCTCATTTATTAACTCTTTGGAACTTTGAAAATGGGTAAAAAACAAAGACTGATAAAGACTGTTTCTGAGTTGACTTGAGATGATCCCAGCCAAGAGTGGAGATCCACAATTCACCCGATGTCAATCGTAAGGAAATTCGTTGGGCTGGTGGATATATATATATATAAAAACCACTCTAGAAGGGCAGTTTGGTCAATTTACATCGCACACGAGAATGTAAGGACAATGTTTGGGACTTGGGCGACGGGTTTTTCGCGCCAAACACTAAGAATAACTGGCAAAATATTATTGTTGGTCACAAAGTGTAAGGTTAAACATGAAATGTTCACGTCTTGTCTTCTTATCTACTCAAGCCCGTTTTATCATGATATGTCCCGGAAAGGGATATATTTGATAGAAGTAGCTAAATGGGTTTGGTTACTGTAACCAAGTAGTACACGGCATCAGAAATCGATTGGTACGAGTCGTAGTCTCAGGTAATAGGTGTAGACCAATAGGATAGCCAATAGCATAGTCCAATGGGCATCGTCATAGACTTAAACTCCGTCGTATCTACACGTCCGTCTGTATTTATGACGGAGATCAGCCAATCATATTCCAGTGAGGGGGAACACAGCTGTATGCATATTCCATTATATCATATCATTTTGCCGGCGCACTCACCTCATTAAGAGTTCATTGATATCTGTGTGTTCCGCGCTTTCCTCCGCCATAACTGCCGGTTATGTAGCGCTATTTAAGTCTATGAAAAAGCAAACATATTCAAGCTCATTCTATTTACGTAATTTTTCCAGATATTGTCGAACGCGGATAAAGAACGCTCGTTTCCTTGGCCCTCTCTTGACTTAACTCACACACACATGTACATAAGCACACGTAGGTTTTCCCCCGACTACTAACAAATAGCTAGCTTTAATGTTGTTTGTTTTGTTTTTTTGTTCTTTTTTTTTTTCATTCTCCTTTTATTAATCAATCAGTTATGTGCCATGCGTGACACACGCTTAGGCGATCATGTATCTTTGGTTACATGACTGATGAAGCAGAATCTTTTCCCCGCAGTAGGTTGCCATTTCTTTCTGCCGCAGACCAGTTGCCATCCAAGGCTACAGAACTTGATCTGTCCTGCTATTTTACCCATAGATTGGGCAGAAGAAGTGGATTCTTACCTTTCTCAAGGATAATAGTACGTATATGAATGAAATGGATTCGACTGGAATTCGAACTCGGCTCTCCGATTCCTCAATCCGAGCCGCTAGCCATTACTCCACCTAATCTTTTTTTTTTTTTAATTCCATGTTTTGTGTTAATTATTTTTACCCGAACTCATATGAGACTGCCAATATAGTTTGCGGGACAACTGTTCTCGCAGCCCATAAATATTTACTGTACAACGTACACAAACTCGTGCCAAAAACGGGAATCCTCGCAATATAACGGTCGATTATTTTCTGCCATTTTCGTTACTGTTTCACATATTGCTACCTGTAAAAATATTAATTATTTTGCTTTATCTCTAAAAGTAGACTCATGGCATATTTTAAAATTGTAAATTTGATAATTTAAAATTCATGTTTATTACTTAAGCTGCCGTTTGACTTCTTCTGCCCGAATTTCATCTTAACTCCACAGATACATGCTGCATTTAGGTTCATATATCCACAGATTATGAGGCAGAACAAAATTAGCAATATAGTGTCTAGATAGATAAATAGATAGATATGTATAAGGGGAAGATAGATAGATAGATAGATAGATAGATAGATAGATAGATAGATATGAATGAGGTGAAGATAGATAGATAGATAGATAGATAGATAGATAGATAGATAGATATGTATAAGGGGAAGGTAGATAGATAGATATGAATAAGGGGAAGATAGATAGATAGATAGATAGATAGATAGATAGATAGATAGATAGATAGATAGATAGATAGATAGACAGATAGATAGATAGATAGATAGATAGATAGATAGATAGATATATGAAAAAATTGTAGATAGATAGATAGATAGATAGATAGATAGATAGATAGATAGATAGATAGTGAAACAGAAAAAGAAATGTAAGAAAAAATGATCCAGGTCCCAGTGTCTGACAATCCATCATATCGAAACTTCTATCTAATAAATCGACGCCTCGATATAAAATTCATAATATATAGACAACTTCGATTTCTAATGCGCAAATATACCAAAGCTAATTCTTAATTTAGGATATTTCATTCAAATGGTTGCCGTTTCTTCGCATCAGCGCCAAATATGACAATTCGCTTCCTAAATGCGTAGATAGATGTTGACATCATATTGCGAATAAATCCTTAGATATATAAGTATTTATTCTATATATAGATACATCGTAAAGTAGATAATAGAAATTCGCTGCTTAGATAGATAGATAGATAGATAGATAGATAGATAGATAGATAGATAGATAGATCATCTAGTATAGATGGATATAAACAGACTGCGATAGATAGATAGATAGATAGATAGATAGATAGATAGATAGATAGATAGATAGATAGATAGATCATCTAGTATAGATGGATATAAACAGACTGCGATAGATAGATAGATAGATAGATAGATAGATAGATAGATAGATAGACTATTTACATCATTCGGACGATTGTCCTCATGTTTGTCGCCACATTTATTACAATAAAGGGTTCAGTTCGACATTCCAACCACCTGAAGAAGGCCGAAGCGTACAACGGCCGAAACGGTGTAATAAATATGGCGGCAAAGGTGAGGACAATAGTCCGAATAATGTAAACAGTGTACATAATACCTGATCTCAGAAATATAGACATAGATAGATAGATAGATAGATAGATAGATAGATATGAACAAAATGTACTTGATAAATAGATAGATAGAAATGAACAAAGTGTCGATAGATACAATAAAGTGATGATAGATAGATAGATAGATAGATAGATAGATAGATAGATAGATGTGAATAACGTGATGATAAAGTGATATGAGTAAGGTGAAGATATATATCAATAAGGTAAAGATAGATGGATAAATATATAGATAAATATGCATAAGCTTTTTTTTTTTTTGATTCGGCGAGCCCAACACACAGACATTTATTGGTGAAATCCTTAACAATGGCTTTCTCGATATAACAGCAAAAGCTGCCGTCTCCATTAGAAGTAGCAAGTATACACCTTCCCTACTTCACTGCATCGCTGTCTATTTCTCTTCGGCTTCGAGTTCATTTGCCATTGGGAAATGCTACACACTGTAGTTGCAGTAGACAACAAAAATTGTCGACCCACTAATCTCCCCAGTTTCGTTTCTTTTTCTTTCGACAACTGTTTCCTTTTTCATTCGGTATTTTGTATTTTACGTTCGCTTCAGCTTTCACTCGCTTATTCTATGAATGCCAAGCTGTGCATTGTCTGTTAATAATTCTTGTTTCTTTCCTCTATCTAAAGCTTTCTTTCTGTCTAGAGATTTATCACTGACAACCACGATCTATCTCGGCCTAGTAGTCTTTTCCGGAAAAATCTATCTACCTACCAATAGATAGATCGATCTATCTAAATCAGCTCATATCTATCTATCTATCTATCTATCTATCTATCTATCTATCTATCTATCTATCTATCAATCAGTGTGCGTGCATATCTATATTTGTGCACAGATTGTATATAATCTGTTCATATCTATCGGTTTATATATCCGTTCATATCTGCCTTCTCGTGTATATCTGTCAATAATCAATCGATGTTTTCCCTATCTTGCCAACAATGTACGCTCTTTCATCTCAATAGCTTGCTATAAATTCTATGCTGTTCATACCCATTCTCTCTCTCTCTCTCTCTCTCTCTCTCTCTCTCTCTATATATATATATATATATATATATATATATATATATATATATTTACTCGGCATATCTATCAATCTCTCTCTCTCTATATATATATATATGTGTGTGTGTGTCCGTACACACAGACACACACATGTATATATATATATATATATATATATATATATATATATATATATATATATATATATATATATATATATGTTAATCGATACTATATATTCATAACTAAATATTTTCATAACTCTCTGTCTATCTCTCCTTTTTTTCTCGGTCTACCACTTTCTATATCCCCACTCTGTCGCTATATATATATATATATATATATATATATATATATATATATACTTACACACACACACACATATATATATATATATATATATATATATATATATATAGAGAGAGAGAGAGAGAGAGAGAGATAAATAGATAGAGAGAGAGAGAGAGTGAAAAAGAGAGAAACATAATATCGCGCAAATAGTGCGCGTGTTAATAAGACAGTGTTCGGTGTAATATAATAGATCTATCAAATATTTATTAATAAATATACATATTATCCCTCACCGGTAGAACGACTCGGAGTTTCATGCAAAACGCACTCTTATGTTTTGAGTATAGACTGGTTGTTAGTTAAATATTAATAGAAATTAATAGTTTACATCAAAAATTAATCTACATCAACGTATTTAAGCAGATATTTATTTTTATACCTACATCTGACCATCATTTCCTTTATCTTGTTTAGTAAGCTAGGGTTATTTAAGTGTTTTTAAACTAATTTTTCAACAAGGCATAAGTTACACTTATTACCTTTCCCTTTGTTAAATTTCGCTTTTGCTACAATATCCCAGGTAATAATGTGTGTATTAACATCATTCTTAATTGTCAAAAATGTTCAGAGAGGTCAGTGCTATTCATGTATCTTACATTGTCTAAAGTCATTCCATGAAAGCAGGAAATAAATTTCCAAGGATTTTCAGTGGAAACAAAATAGAATTTGACATCATTAACGGAATCTATGGCATCTCGGTATACAATATTATCAATTAGTCGTTTAAGAAACACATCGTATTCTTTCGGCAGTTGCATTTATTATTTTCAAATTAACTTTGTTGAGTCGTGACACCGTTGAGGAATATATATATATATATATATATATATATATATATATATATATATATATAATGAATACCCATATTATTATTCTCCGATAACACAAATTGGTGTTTCCGGCGCAACACAATCTTCAGTCGCATGAAATTCCTAGTCGTGCTATCGATGAGAAATAATAAGTATATTTATAAATATATACATAATAACATCGACCACTGATTTATTAACACCAGCACTACATATGCGATATATATATATATATATATATATATATATATATATAATTATTTATTTAAAAATATGATTCCAACACGCTTAGTAATTAGTTAACATAATCCAGGCGAGTCTTATTAGAACATAGAATTTGAAATATGTTAACAATGACTCACAAAAAGCGCTCAAAGTTTATTTTCATTAGAGTAATTTTTTTTACAATTGGAATTTACATACCTTTACTCATAATTAGTTTTTAGTATCTTAATTTCAATTGTAAAGTATATATATATATATGTGTGTGTGTGTGTGCGCGCGTGTGTGTGCATGTGTGTGTGTGTTCATATCTTCCTGTCTTGTAATATCGACGTCTTTTCATATCTATCTAACTATTTATGTATCTTTCTGCTATGTATTTACCCACTCTCTATCGCTACATGTTGCTTTGTTCTTCTGCGTTATTCAGTCGCTAATCTTGGAAGTGTAAGTAATTACACACACACATACAGACTTATATTTGATATGAAAAAATAAATTTAAATAATGTAAGTAATTCTATTACATTAACTTGTTTTTAAAAAGAAATATAGTCTATTAGTAATTAAGAGTAAAAATATTTTAAAATTGTAGTTAAATAAAACGTATTCTAACACAAACACACCTAAAAAGAATCTTAAGTATACAAGTAAGAAAAAAATGCCGAAGAACTTTTTCCTGTTGATAAAAAACCAAAAAAACCAAAAAAACAGACAACATGCATTTAACGGATGTCAGAATTCGTTGAAAAATACACCCCTACCCTCCCTAAACTTAACCTCTTTTTCGAACGTAACTCATAATTGATACAACAAAAGTTAATAAAAATGAACAAGCTACAGCCCCTGTCTAAATGATTGGATTTCTCTGTATCCTTGGAAACAGTAAATTATGAATTTATATGTGCGTTTAAAACTCAGGAAATTTAAAAATAAGTTATTCCAGTGTTCGCTTGAAGATGAAACGGAACTAATACTTTTAATTTAATTATATAATTAAATTTAAAGTTTTTAGCTTCCATTTTTGAAACATGGTTATTACTGTGTAGTGAAAAAACATATTTTCAATCAGTTAATATATATATATATATATATATATATATATATATATATATATATATATGGACGAATTTTTGAATTGATTCAATCTTTATTTCTAAAGCGAGAAATGAGAGTTGTTCTGAATAGGAACTCTTTCTGACTTTTTGCATTAATATTAATAATCTTTAATTAATATCTTTTGTTAACTTGGGCAAGAAATAACTTGTCAATTTTAACGCTCCCAAAGTAAAACTGCTTTATCTTAATAACACTTTTATTGTTATTTATTATATGAAGTGGAAAGATTATATTGCGTCAATTGCTATGTCTGATGTTAGGAAATTGCTTCCCTGTCTCTGTTGTTCTCTCCAGATTCTATCACCAACGTTTCAAATATTGCTTCCACACCCGCTTTGGTGTTCATCGTATATATTTAGAGATTCTTGATAAAATCCAAAGAAGAATTAGCAATGCTATTGGTACTGACCTGGCATCTCAGCCTCAGTCATTTTCCTATCTCCGTAATGTAGCTTCCCTGTGCCTTTTTCTATAAATACTTTCATGGCAATTGTTTGGATGGACTATCTACGATGACACCTAGATTTTTTTATGAATTTAAGCTCTGATGATTTTATAGCTGAATTGGCTGGATATAACCGTAAATACTTTGCTAACAGTTTTTTTTTTTATCTTACAACTTACCTGTGGAACTCTCTTGCTTTTCTCTCATTATTTATATTTATTACCTTGTTGAGGGGAAATGAATATATATATATATATATATATATATATATATATATATATATATATATATATATATATATATATATATATATATATATATACTTGCCATATTACCTGCGGCCTTACTGTGTATTACACATTTTTTGCAAGGAAATGATGATTGATTTTAAAGCATTGTTATACTTTGTAGAGAAAAAATGATGTATTTCAGTATTACTCAATGATCATAACGATGTGACCTCCATCTTCTGGCTTTCTCCTTCTATAATTTGGATAGGAGTCATTCCCTTGTTCACATTTAAATTTAATTTAAATCAAAGGTAAAAAAACTTTCAGTGGAGGGGAGATGGGCTGTGTCCTCACGAGCGACACCCTTTGATTAAAATGAGATATACTTATAAAAAGTATCCTATGAGACATTACCTTGTCCAAATTTCAATTTAATTTAAATCAAAGGCAAAATAATCAGTAGAGTGTTTGTTCACCCTAGGGACCATTTTGATCAAAATGAAATATACTTATCCAAGTACTCTAGTTAATGTAGTTTCAGAATATATATGTTTATAGGGTCTATCTTCAAACAAACGAACAGATAGAGGCTACAACTTTGTATGTATATATATATATATATATATATATATATATATATGTGTGTGTGTGTGTGTGTGTGTGTGTGTGTGTGTGTGTGTGTGGTTTCCGGGATGAAATCCGGTCTCAAAATGAATGACAAACGCAGGAATGAAATATAACAAATAAATGTATTGACGTAATAATACAATTGGTAATACGGTTAGTAGATCCAGAAATGCGGTTAGTAGCAATAATATATATATATATAGAGAGAGAGAGAGTCTGGGAAATTCAGTATCGAAGTATGACTTCCTTCTGAGTCTACGTGCTCGCAACTGTGACTCCTACAAAGCGGTTACCTCACTCTCTCACTGGGCAGAGTCCACTTGTATGAAACAGGGGTGGACTCCTTAACAATATATATATATATATATATATATATATATATATATATATATATATATATGTGTGTGTGTGTGTGTGTGTGTGTGTGTATGTGTGTGTGTGTGTGTGTTCGTATGTGTGTGTCATTTTTCTGCTGCTTTTTTTTATTTCTGCTCCTCTTCCGCCGCTTTAATCCCCCTCGTCGTTCTGTTGTCTGGATATCTACATTCGTACATAATTCCCTCCCCCGGTCTTTCTTTCATTATATTGTACCAACTGTATTTCTCCATTATATTTCACTGTTCCAATATCTACATTGCCCCCTTCTCCTTTCGCCACTACCTAATCTTATCAACCACCTTTGCCGCTTGACCTTTCCTTTTAGTTTAAGTAAAAACTCTACTTTAAAAAAAAATCTATTATATCATCCCTTTCGCTTTATATATATTTATGTTTACCTGTTTACTTTCTCGTTACATGGTCTCTGATTTCAGCGACATGTTCTAACTGACTGTACAATATTGGTAGAAACGTATGATTACTAAGAAACGTATTGACGAATCTTTAAGTTCCCGCCCACACCAGAACAAATCATTGTAATAATTGCTTATTATTTTATAAATATAAATCGTATAAAGTGTAAACTGTTTAAAAAAAAAGAAAGAAAAGAAGCTCTTTAAATGAAAATTAAAAAAAGAAATTCCTAGTTAGCAATTAAGACTCCCAAGGAGATGCTTCATCGATCATTGCAATCACTGCAAGTAATCATTATCGTCCCTAAATATAGATATAAAC